GGAACAAGTGGCGACGTCTAACAAGATCAGCGGACCCTGCGACGGCGCGGGACTAACGCTAGGAGGAAGAAGAAGATGTCCCGCAACTTCCGTTTCGCCCCATAGGGGGGACAGATCCTCACTCTTAATTTCACGAGTTCAGCGTAATCGAAAGCGGCCGTGTCATCGATCGGCCTACATCTTCACAAAGGCTTATCATGAAAGTATGCGGATATAAAGGTTGTTGTTCTTCTTTTTAGGAATTCCGACAAGCTCCCTTTGCTGCAAATAATAGTCACTCGCAAACACGAACTGCCCCCGCTTTCGTTCTCCTGGCTTTTATCAGTTCTTCTTTAATGCCGGTAATTACTTGTCAATGCTAAACTTTTAATTTCCCTTCCCTGCGTCATCTCTATGTTACTATCATTCTCTGCACATTTCGCAAACTTCTGCCATTCTCGACTGGTTACAGTAGTCCATCATACGAATACCTTATATAATAGATCCAAATTTGTTTTCGAGGAGTATTGTGAAAACAGTAAGAAACCCCATTTGGACCGTATCACACAAATCTCGCCTATAAACTCCGCTTTCTCAGACCATCAGCCATGAAAAGAATTTACTTTAGTTGAGGGGATTTCCTTAATTTCTACTCGATAATTCATTGGTTATTCATTATATTGCACTGAAATGAGCTCTGAACAAGCCTTTTGAACCTATCTCCGGAGCTCGGCCCCTAAGATAGAGCGCCCCAATGAAAAGGATCCAAACAAGCGCGCACGAAATTTTTTCAAAGAGGCGACCTCGGCATGATTAGAAAGCATCAACTCAGAGTCTGGCGTTGGTTTACGGTATTCAACATGTGTACGCAATCACTTCCATCCCCTCCCGGCACAGTCTGCGGATTAAATCGTCTGTTTACTTTATCTCCTACGCTCTTGTTGTTACCCATCTACGGAGAACGACAGTTTTTATTTTTTTGTCTTTGGGACAAAATGAATTCTCAAGTTTACTTCATCGTTCTTTTGTGTTCGTTCTTTGTATAATATACTGTTTGATTCATCGTCGTAGCGGCGCGGCTAATGCCGTTTTTCTTCGGACTCACCAACTTCGGCACCGAGCTCATTTTAAAATTGCCTAAGTCACCAAATCCACTAAAAACTTGTATGTAGGGGTAGTTTAAAATCCTGATTTCGAATATGACATTCACTCTTGCCGCTGGCGCTAATGGATGACACTACGATTACCTGCGCTCCGCTAAGGCTGAGCCCAAGAGGTAATCGTAGTGTCATCCCTTGGCGCCAGCGCCAAAAATGAGTGTCATAATTGTAATCAGGATGGTAAATAACCCCTGTGTACATATTTTCAGCAGGTTTGGCGACTTAGGTAATTTGAAAATGAGCTCGGTGCCGAAGTTGCTGGAGTCCTAACGGCATTAGCCGTAGCGGCGCCATTCTTTCGCACAGCTGCGGCTGTGGCCATTGCGTACACTGCGGAGCTACAGTAACCTCACGCCTAGTTCCATTACTCGTCAGGACGTAGCATCTCAATGAATTTTGGTGATTATGATTGAAGAGTGACATCTACGAGTATTTCAGTCCTAGAATCTTCCTGTGCAGTAGCCTCATGGATGTTTTTGAGGGAGGAAGCGGCAGCATTAACCGAAAGATACCTATATCGCGTAGTTTACATACGCACAAAGGGATCAAACACATTACGAAGTAGAAAAATTTAAAGGAGCGAGTACAACAGTAGCAGACTAACTCTTCCAAGGATAACAGGTGTCAGCCTACAGAGGTCCTTCTTGAAAAAAGTTACATAAAATGGAGTAAAGCATCGAGTGATGAGTGAGCCACATGAATATACATTCACTACTCCCAACCAAGGATTGCTCCCACGGTTTCTCCACGTTCCATATTGTTTGGGGAGCGTGGCAAGTCCCCGGTTTATCCAGCCGTACGCTTTCGCTTCTCGCCGTGATCATCATAGTCAGGCACTTGTCAAATCGCTGGTCTAGAGAGTGAGTTGACAAGTGCCGAGACAGAGTTGAGCAAAACGGTGATGAAGAAGCGCAGTAACTTTGCAGGACATGTTTACCGTTCCCAAGAAGAGATATACCGTTTCCATGTTGATGGTAATCCGTCCTCTCGGCGAACTTTTAGGGCTTCCCATTTTTGCGCCCCTGACTTTCATAACTCGAAAGTTTTTGCTGAGGATATGTTATTTGAGTTTTATGGAAAATCTCTTATTCCAGTCCGCCACAAAAATAAGAAGCTGCAATCAATGATGGACTATGGCGCAATCGCAGTATGTACAAGTACTCTATTACACAACCGCTATCTTTTCACATATATTAACAGAATAACACATAGAGTCCGCTATCCTGGCCCTTCGTGCTTTGAATTGTGAGGAGTGGTGACGAAAAGGAAGGTATCGGAACACCTGCATCCCACTGCGCTCAAATATAGTCGCATCTCCCATGAGATCTTTCCTCGACATTGAATAAAACTAGGCGTGAGCTTACTGTAGCTCCGCAGTGTACGCAACGGCACACAGCCGCAGCTGTGGGAAAGAATGGCGCCGGTCGTAGCACCTCGTTTTATTGTTACTTTGCGATGTTGAAGTGCTGTAATTATTATCTTTTCTTTGCATGCAGTTCGTTCTTTAGGTAGTTCGAGAGTACACGACATCTGCACTTGTAGTTGTCGTGTTTGAGGTGCTGTAATGTCCAAGACGCTCTACAACGTTATCACACTCGTCTCACTTCTCAGCCTTCTCCACTGTGCCTATTCCGCAGCGCAGGTATATTATAGCAGCTCCTTTTTTTTCAGAGTTTTGGTACATTTCCGAACTTTTCTGGCCACTTTGTTCACTACATAGTTCATTGTTAATATTTGGGCTCCAAAGGGAACCCAGGTCAATCGGTGTGCGCATAGTCTGCAACTTGAGACGCCGGATCGAAGGAACTGTGCCTTCCGTACTCGCGGAGGAAGCCATCCGCAAGTATGAGTGACTGGGACCAAGCCCTTTCGTGATGGGGCCGCATGAATCATGCCGAATGAGTGTGAGGTCCGGGAGTCATGGTAGCCTTAGGGGCAAATTTCCATCTAAATGGGAGATTTTGACCTATTTAAAAAAAAAGATCGTAGTCACACGTGAATAGCGTGAATGCGTGGAACATATTATTGAGAACGTGCGAGAAGTAGACCAATGGAGCATTTCGTACAGGAAAGCAATGCTGTGAAAGTCTCAAGGATGACGCGATGGCTTTAATTAGTAACTGCTTTTCTTCGGAAACATGGCTAGAGAGTTAATTTAATCCCACGACTATATTGGGACGTTAGTTTAGCTCTAGAACTATGTCTGGGTTGATACCGACCACCGTTTCACTCATGAATGACGCACTTTTACAAAGGATGAAGATCTCGCCGGAACTACTTGTCGGGAACTGCTCCCAAATTCCTTGTATGGGGGGGGGGTACATAAGCGCTGATTCATTTGGCGTGGCTGAGGTCTTTTTACCATGTTTCTGAAAAAAGCAAAAAGTACGGCCATAATGAGTTTAATCCCGCGACCACTCGCTTGCAAGGCGGGCTAACGGCTGAGCTTCAGTGCCACGGACATCACTTTACAGTTCCGCACAACGGGCGCCACCATATGCAAAGACGTCCCTCTAGTTTGAAAGAAGATCTGAGTTCACCGTTCCAAGAGCTTACGTAGGTGTGCATATCCTGTTAGGTTGGAAGAAAGTCCTGCGACAATTTGCTCAAATTTATTATTCTAGAAAAAGATCAAAAAATGTTTTGACTGTCTTCACCTCTAATCAGTGTACAATGTTCTCTGAGGTTTTTGCGGACGGGTATGTTGTGGCTTTTTGGGGGTTTCAAAGCTTAAAGTCCCCCAAAGGTCGAGGTACTTCCAATCTGTCATACATTATGAGTTTCCCCGCCGTAATGGGAACTAACACCTGTGCTGTCTCAAGGAAGGACGTCGCTTGCCATGGCAGAGGTTCCCGTTTCTGTAAATGCTTGCGAGCTGGAATTACTCTATTGGAAAGTAGGCTTCGACACGAAATGACAGCTTACTCACCCCCCCCCCTCTCTGGAGGCGCAGCCGAACGTAAACGCCAGTATGTTAGCAGCCTCTCTAGGCTGTAGCTAAGTGACAGCTGCCATGCTGCTCCGCAATCTCGGTCATAGGGAAACTTTCTGTGAAAGTTGCCACATGAGTTGGAACAGTACGAAGCGCACCGAATGTTCGTGACTGATTTTCTCTTCCTTTATACACAGTGCAAGGACTTCTTGTGAGTTTCTGTGGTTGATAGCGAGAGCTGGTGACCTTGTGTGAACCATCCTCCCACACAGTATCTCTCAAGGAGAAAAGTAGCCTGCTTAGGCAAAAGCAGGCGTCTTGAAATAGAGATTTCACTGTGTTATTGGAGGGTCTTCAGATCAATGTCGGTGGGTACTGGCACAGTAGTGACGGTCACTGCCCACGCCAATCAAGTTCGAAAGATGGGGGACGTCGCAATTGAACTCATTTAATCTCTCTTTGTTACTCGGCAGCGCGAAGACAGCATGTAGTGATGAGGCTACTTGGAAAGAATATGACCTCGATCAGGGAATGTGACCGCACCCATCTTGTTTGCCGAAGTTAGCAGCCTCCAAATACCATCTCGTTCGATCCTTACTGCATCCTTTAGAAAACCAAAATCTCGCTAATCAACGCCTTTTCGGAAATGGGGTCACCTCTTTCTCCTATCGTACTTGCCGTAGTTCTACAAGAGTAGAATCGAAAAGCCGTGTGAAAGGTGGGCACTAGTCCTAGTTATTAATGGGGATTACTTTGTTGATTTTAGGTGTCTCTTAGTGAAGGAAAATTTGGTGCAAAATTTCGGATAAAGTATAGTAGAACTCTCTTCCCTACCTAATAGCAAAGGGACAGATCGACCTGCTCATTGGGAACCCTTGATTACCAGTTTTCCTCCATATAGAAGGGAGCGGATGGTGGAGTATTGATTTTTGCCATTTCTTCACTACTTCATTCATAAATCGAGATCGTTTCAGCATCGTTCTTACCTGCGACTGACGGAGCAGCCTTTTGTTGCATTGCCAGCTGACGTTTTGGCGCAAACCCTGATCTCACTGGTAGCGTTAATTTACGGAGCGTCTCACGTTGCTGGTGCATTCCAGCACATCAAGAGTGATCCAGTAGGTTTTCTGGAGTGGAGTGGATATCTCATCGAAACGGTTGTGCCAGTTTTTGACAACCATCCATTTGCAGAATCGTGACCGATCATGGGACGAGGCAGGGAGTTGTATGTCCTTCGTAACATTCGAGCATCGTGGAAAAGCAATGTCGCCAGCACATGCTGTGGTACGACAGCGTACCGAGGAGGTTGCACAGGTATGCTAGCAATTTGTAGTAAGTTGCCTAGGTCCCCGGACTTCGAGAAGCTAAAATAAAAGTAGTCCAAACGAAAATGTCGGTGGAGAACTCTGCGCGATTTGAAGAAATAAGCACAAGCAGCAATATAGCAGCAGCTAATTTCAACAAACCAACGTGCTTTCTAATGTGTTGCATCTCCATGTTGAGAAGGCGTTTTGAGGGAGATCATTGAGTTGGGACTTTTTTTACGCATGTAGTGGCGTCGAAGTAGAAGATTTATTGGAGAATACCAACAGAAGGCGAATAGAAGAAGAAACAGTACCCGACCGTCTTGAAGTAGTAGCGTCGTAAAAAATGAGCAATACAGTGCACGCGAGATACTGGGGCTAATCTTATCAGCCACACATCCTGTCTCCTCAACACCTCCCCTTTTAAGTAAGATCGTATGATTTCTTTTTGGCATCCACTGTGACTCGATGCAGCGTTGAACGATTGCGTGAAGATCGTCGTAGTGGTGGTCCTGGCGATGCCGATGGGCATGGCGTTGAATCGTTGTGCTGCGTCGAGAGACTGGCTGAAGTTGAATTCGTAACATTGTCGAGCGTCGTTCGATCGGCGGGAGTGGTACGTTCATCGCGAAATGGAGCGAGATCGAAAACGTCCAGCAGTCGGTCGACTATAGCAGCGTGATCACGACGTTTGATTTAATTTGCATGTCGTGTCCATAATAAGTTGCCACAGCGTACCAGATAAGTGACCTTGCCCAGACGTCGTACGACAACACCAGGCGTCCATGTGCTTTTTGCTCCTCGGTATTCCTTGCGTAGACAGCATCATCGATATTGAAGTAGCGACGTCGTGCTCCATGATGCTTGTTGAATTGTCGTTCCATTCCGGCGTCTCGTTGTGCATTGCTCTCGTTCGAGGTGGGCATCATCAGGTGCAGCTGTGTGCGCAGTCGACGTCCCAGAAAGTTTTTGGCCGGCGATAGCTGATCTGGTCCCGAAATGCAGGGCGTTGAACGGTATGCCATCAGAAAGGTCTGAAGTGCATCCGATGTTGCTTACCCCCTCTTCAGTTTGGCTAGTCTTCTCTTGAATGTATCCACAAAACGCTCGGCCTGCCCATTGCTTTCTGGATGAAAAGGATGGGAGCGGAAGTGTTTGATTCCTCGAATTACCTGGAGTTGAAGTGTGTGCTGTCCCTAATGAGCGTCTTCGGGTTTCTGAGCTGTGGGAACTTCTTCATAGTCCTGATTGTAGCTTACGATGAGATGGAGTTCATCTGGATGATCTCAGACCACTTTAAGAATGAGTCCACGACGACCAGGCAGGATGTCCGTTCCAGAGGAAATGCAAAGTCCGCGTGTACTCGGTCCCATGGCTTGGTTGACTTTGGCCAGGAGCGGAGCTCGGTCTTCACAGGTTCTTGGCGGCTCCTGCGGAAGAAGTGCAGTTAATGACGAGGTTGTCGATATTCGAGTCCATCGATGGCCAGTAGAGATAGCTGCGAGCCAGCATCTTTATTCTCGTTTGGTCTGGGTGGGCTTTGTGGAGCAATCGACGTTGGAGAAACTTTGGGATGACAATGCGGCTTGAGGTCATCAGGCATGAGTCAGTAACTGATAGAGAATCTCGTCGGTTGTAGAAGTGCCAGAGTGGTGAATTGCGGTCCACTTTTGGCCAGAGTCCAGTTCGAATGCAGTTGATGATTTGAGATAGAATCAGAGGTAGTCGCGGTCTGCACAGTTTGGAACGAAGGCATGGCAGTGATCCATTGCTTTGGCAGAGACATCGACGTTGATGGCAGCGATGACTTTATCTTCTGCTTGAGGTGACTGTACGACGATCAGACGAGAAAGAGCATCACCTTGACCGAAATCCTCGGTTCGCATGTACTCCATGTTGGTCGTAGTTCAGTAGTATAGCAGTCCTTCGTTGAAGTGTAGGTGTGGTGTGTAAATCGGGACTCCTTTCTTGTTTTTGTCTGTCGCGATGGGCGGCTTATGGTCTGTCTTCAAGTTAAATGACGTCCATGTACGAATCCATGGAACTTTTGAACAGCGAAAATCAGGGCAGGGGCCTCCTTTTCTTGGCTGTATTTCTTCTGAGCTGGAGTCAAGGCTCGGCTGGCATGGTAGATTGCTTTTTCGGATCCGTCCGGAAATCGGTGGGAGAGAACAGCTCCAATACCATAGTTGGAGGCATCTGCTGCGACGATGAGTGGCAGTGAAGCGTCGTAGTGTGTGAGTAATAGATCCGATTTGAGAACTGCTTTGATGCGATCAAAGCACGACTGGCACTCTGAGATCCATGAATAGACGGCATCCTTTTTAGTGAGTGCGTCCAGCGGGGCGCGTAGGTTGTGCAGACCATTGACGAACGTTCCATAGAAGTTGACTAGGCCCAAGAAGGCTCGAAGTTGGCCGACGTCTATAGGTGCAGGCATTCGTTGAATTGCTTCGATCTTCGCAGGGTCCGGTCGACGTCCTGCATTAATCACGAAACCGAGGTAGTTGATTTCGGCTTGTAGCAGTGAGCACTTCTCCAGGCGAATGCGGAATTCATAGTCATGAATTCTTCGGAAAATGGCTTCCAGTCGAGAGTTGTGCTCCTCAAGAGTACAGGGTGACCAAGAAGTTCTGGCAATTTTTCGGATTGCTTCGGTAGCATAAAAAATACGCGTTCGAAAAAGGAAATCAGCCAACTAAACGTCTGGAGTCTTCATCTAATCACTACAATAACCGTATCAACGAAGTTCCAAACGAAGTCCTTCAGCCTCGATACATTTACGGTAGTCGTTTTCCAAAGTGTCCGACAAGGGTCGCTCATTCCTCTGCTGTAGTTTGGTCCCAAACACGCAGCAACGCCACTTTCAGGGTGTAAACCGTTGCGCATCGAATTCCTGAGATTTTTCGACCAGATGGAATAATCCATAGGGTTCGGACCATGCTAGTTGGGAGGCCAAACGTCCTTGCCCCAAAATCGGGAAACAGCTCTTCACAAGCGGCAGTTCGTGGTTTGGCAGGATGTGTTGGCTCCCAGTCTTGCTGAAGCACATGTCCATCCGGGCCGAAGTCCCACGATACCCATGGCTTCAGTACATCGCGGAGAACGCGTTGTTGGGAGTAGACAGCATTAATCTTTACGATGGCGCTCGAAAGAATGAGAGGTCTTTCCGGTGGCACAATCTCGCCTCAGACCGTGACTAAGGCTGAGAGTCTGCGTCCGACGGATTTCACAGCCGTTGCCTTCTGTTGACCTTTTCTGAGGAGCAGACAACAATCCCGGTAGTTGTGATCGAAAATTTTTCTCGTCGGTGGCGAGCACATTCTTCAAGCAACAAGCACCGACCAGAAGATGGGTTTCAACAACTGCAACTTTTTGATTTTTTCGAGACAGTGCGAGGAGAAATCGAAAGTGATTGGATAGATGACTCGTACGGTAGTTCGAAATGGCTTGCGGAATACAAATAACCCATTGGAGAAAAAACAGACCATAATGGCCATTCAAAAACGCACAAACACGAGATTGCCAGAACTTTTTGGTCACCCTGTTGTGCCAGTGACGATGATATCATCCAGGTTTGCAGCAGTGCCATCCAGTCCAGTAATAAGAGCGTCCATCTGCTGCTGGAAGATTCCTGGGGCGGCCTTCACTCCGAGTAAGCGGTTGAGGCGATAGAGGCCGCGATGTGTATTGATTGTGAGAGCGGTCGAGAATCTTCTACTTCCAGTTGAAGGTACGCTTCGGCCAGGTCCAGTTGAGAGAAATGGCGTCCTTCGTTCAGATTGGCAAATATTATTGAAAAAAAACTGACATTTTTTATGGTAAAAGGAGGAAGTGGCTACAACTGAATGGGGAAAATTCAGAAAAAAGCAAAAGGGAACAATCTTCTATGGACAATTTTCGATCGGGCCTATTACCGCTCTCTCCTCAGCGACCACATGTGACCGTTCCTGATGGGATTGTCCAACGATGCCGTACACTTATTGAGGCCTCATAGCCACTGCGCAATACAGTGCTTGTTCATCATAAAATCTCTCCATTTAGAATGGTCGCATAGTGTTGTGAGGTTCTCTGCCCAACTTTTTCCTTCAATTCTTTCTTCTCTAGTTTTTAGAAACTCATTAGCAGTTTTCTCTTGAATGGACATCGAAACTTTCACATTCCAGATGCCCTCGTCTTCTCGAGACGACTGAGCACGTTTTCTAATCATTCTGCACAAAATGAACTACTTGCTTTTTCTTCTTTATGTTCTTCGTGTATTCCTCCAATTAGTTTGATTTCGCGATATTCAAACGCTGTCTCGTCTCTTTCTAGCCCGGATTTCTCGAATCTTCCTGGGACAAGGTATGCTTTCAGCTACAACGTTATTTTATACTTTTTTATGAATACTTCAATTTTTTTTACTGGTGAATTTTCTATTTTTTAATGATTTTTTACAAGCAGTTAACCATTTTCTTCTTCAGAGTCTCAGTCAAAACTCTGTTGGGCAGCGTTTACACTTTTCGGCGTTAGCTTAGGAAATGGGTCGCTAACGATCCGATGTTTGAGGGAAACGCGCTTTCTGTCGATTCCCTCTTCTCCTATTCTCCCAAAGCGGTAGCAATTGACTCGAGTTCGGGGCCTATCCCATGGTTAGACGCGCACTCTCTAAAAACGTCCGTTCGCAGGCTATCCGATTCTTATTCATCCGTGGCAGTAGACTGATCTCAATCTTTTGACGCGCATTCTCCGAGAACATCGATGCTCCTATTCTCCTATAATATCATCAAGTCTACGAACGCAGCCTCAAAATTCACTTTTCCGTGATATTACGTCTTGTGCGATTTATCTGTGGTGTTATCCAGTTGTGCTGACAATCAGTTCTCCGAGTGTGTGATTATCACGTCCACAAAGTGTGTCTAGGCCGCTTGCAACTGCATGAAATCCGGCTTATGTTTGGTTTCAACATTAACCCAAACATATGAGGACCTTATGATTATCCAATAAGTGAACGATTCGCTCTTTTGGTATGCTCATAGTGATGGCGAAAGAAGTCGAGGGGCATTTGGTATGCTTAATCAATGCATCTGGATGATTTTTGTGCTAAATAGCTTGTGTGTTAATGTGCCACTACTGTCTCAGGGAGCTTCTTGTGTGGTGAATAAAGCCCTCGTCTTTGCACGTCATAAATTTTCTTCTCTATTCTCCAACTTCTCTCTTGTAACCTCGGCATGTTAGTTTTCAGTAACACTATTTATTACTATTATTACCATCTTCTACTTATTACTACTATTACATCACTGAATTATTAAAAAATTTTTCTCTATAGCACTATAGTCGGTTCTTAGTATGTGTTATTCTGCTTCCCCGATCTCGGCAGCATAACCATTGATTTGCAGACAACCCAAATCTAAACTACTGAAGCCTTCACGGATGTTAGAGATAACAAAACAGCAAGCACGGGAGGCGTTTCACATGTGTTTGGAGGTATGTGGTTTACTGAATGCAATGTTGTTCAGTGATGTGCGGCTATACAAGGTAAAAAAGCGTTTGAACATGTGTACATGCTGAGGTTTCATACTTCTGTCTCAGACCTCTGCGACCTGCTAACCAGGAAAGGTCAACAGGTCAGCCTGGCCATATGCAATGAGGTACACATCATTGTACTCGCCTTGAGACGGTGAACTCAAAACTATTTTCAAAATTTGCGGAACGATTCTCTGAGAGGAGTCATGGAAGTTCTTATTTACTGTTTTTCTTCTTAAGGGCGCTCTGGCGCCGAACCGTTGGCACCCGTAGCGCAACTCACAGCGCTTTTCGCGCAAAGTAAGTATCATATCCGTAGTTAGGGGGCCAAATAACCCTTAGAGACGGCACCTCAGCGAAATCTGAGGTTCTGACTCAGCTTCGAAAAAATTGGGGTAAGATCGCAGTGCTGACTGTTAGCGAACAGCCATACTACGACTAGCATACTGATGATGACTGATCTTCGAGCAGAGATCACTCTTCAGTCATGTTCGCAAAGAACAATACCTGGCTCACTTATTCGAGCCGTCTGCATAATTCTCCTGGTTACCGGTAGGAAATTCCATCCCGAGACCAATTACCGATGCTGGGTGAACCCCAATCTGCTGCCGATTAGTCATAGAATAGCCCACATTTTCCAGGTTAGGTAATCAGATTTGGCTTGGAACTTGTCCCCATAGGTAAACAGATTAGCCGAACATGAATATAATGGTATTTCGTTGCAAAAACCCTTGTGACATGTGTTACGAGAGGGGCAAGCACAAGCAGTCTTCTAGGCCATAGTGGGTCTACACTTTCAAATAAAAACTGATCGCAGGTCCCCTTGCAGGATAGTGCAGGCGAGTAGAGATGTTGGAAGCCTTGTCCGCTATATTCCTGGACAAGTGCAAGAATGTGCGACCCGAATTGATCCCACGACGTCTCGCTTAGGAAACCGACTCCTATCCTCCCCTACCACGATTCGGAAGTACTCCATACATAAATGTGAAGACGCTTCCACGTTTGCTCGCGATAGCATGTAAAACAACTATGCACTGACAAATCCCTCCATAACTCCGCTCAGAGAATCGTTCCGCAAATTCTGAAGACAGATTTCAGTTCACCGTCTCAAGACGCGCCCAACGGTGTGCACCTCACTGGAAATGGCCAAGCTGACCTGTTGACCTTTCCTGGTAAGGCTAACCAGGGAAGGTCGCCAGCTTACCATGTAACCTTGAATGGAGACCTGGCTGGATGATAGGGTCTACAAGGTTATTAACAGATGTAGATAGCAAAACTGCAACGTGCATTCCTCAAGCAACTTTTGAGAAGGTAAAATTTGTAATGGTACAGTACGCTGGAAGCTTGGTTGTGAGCTGTGAAGCATAAGCGAGGAAGCGCATGCCGCAAATGGAGTCGTGGTGGTTCAGTGGTAAGATACTCGCTTCACAGGCACAGCATGACTCGATTTGGCGTATGCGATTCCACGCTTATGCTTCACAGCTCACCACCAATCCCCCACCCTACTGCACCATTGCAAACTTTACCTGCTCATAAGTTGCTTGTGGAATGCACGTTGCAGCTTTGCTATCTACATTTGTTAATAGCCCTATAGACTCTATCGATCCACCCAGGTCTCCATTCAAAGTTCCACGGTAAGTTGGCGACCTTCCCTGGTAAGATGATTGGATATTTTACACCATTTCGACATATCATCGGTTTTCGCAAGTAAGTGCAGTACGTTGATGTCAAGAGACACGGCAGAGGTTATGGTGCAACTCCTTATGTGACGAAGTAACGCTGAATAGTCAATCAACATTTACTTTTTTTATTGAATTTTCGAGCGAGCATGCTTTCTTATTGCTTCACCGTGTTGAGGCGAGCATTTGGCTTTTTTAGACAGTTCGATCCCGAGATAATGATAACTATCAAGCAGTCTTAACCATGCCAAAATCATGCCATCCGGAGCTAATCGCCGTAAGGAATTCTCTCGTCATTTCTTTTTTCATTAGAGTAATGCTCCGAATGTCTTAGTTGCTAGCCTTCAATGTTGAAGTCGCCCTTGTGCGTGAAAAAATCACGCAGCGAAGCGGTGACACAACTGGCATGTACCGTCTGCAGTTTTGGCGTGACGCTATTGCAGCAATCTACGGCGACTCAGTGGCGCCAATACCACGGTAAATACGTTTTTTTTAACAATTTTCTTGATCAGTGTCAGGTCATGATAATCGTGGTAAAAAGGCCAACTAGTACTGTGAATCGCTAGCCGGTTCACGCGCTTCAATTCGGAATGGTAGCGTTTATACTACCCAGCCTTACACTTGGACTTTGGTTACCCGAGTCCAGCTGGACTCATACAAAGGTATCTTCTTCCTTCTTCCCATCAGGGTATGGTAGTTCAGCTTATCAATGAGGAATGTGGGAGTGGGGGGGGGGTAATCCCGTGTGTAAAAGCACTTTCACCCCAATTGATCAGAATTTTGATCAGAGTTTCGATCAGAGTCAGATCATTTGATCAGAGTTTCGATTCAGGATTTGACGTTCACGGTCAGAGCAAATGTGATAAGAAGCCGTAATTTTAGCGTTTAAGAGAGGAGCTTCCGAACCAAATATCTGTCGAGATATTCCGGACCAGTCGCGCATGGTTTGTAGCGCGACAATTATTCATTTTTATCTATTGATTAATTTATTTCCATACACTGCTGAAGTGCACTGAAGTATCATAAACTTCCGTAAAGAGTCGGGAAAAACGATAGTATGAACTGCAAATGGGCTCTGTACTTTAACGCGAAAAATATGAAACATGACAGCTGTAGCAGGGTGTGTTCCCTGCAGGGTACAGCATCGTTGTGTGAAACCCATCGGGGGTCCTTGGCCGCTGGGAAGCAGGGGGCGGGGGAGGTGGTAAACGCAGGGTTGGTGAGCATCAAACATCACAAAAGTGTCATCGCTAGGTTTGATGAAGCGGACGGAAAACTGCCGAGGACTAGGATGAAAGGTAGACTACAAAATCGTAAAACAGTTGTGAGCAGTATCGATAGTTAGCACGAACTCGTAGATGACTGCATAATGCACCGCAAACAGATTCATGCGTGTGGACCTTTCCAGTTAAACGGGGTAACGTTTTTTGAAGGCATGTTGAAGTTCTCAAATAAGTATCCGCAGAATCGCACAGGAAAAGTCGAGCTTTTGAGTGGCTCAGAATGTCGCCCAAGGGTGACCCATCTAAAATATCTTCAAGACTAGCGGGTCTTCAGGAAAACTGTCGAACTACGGGAAGGAGGAACTACTGTTTTCAGGGCGTGTTTGATTTTGGAGAAGATTGCGTTTGAAAGAAGTAATTCGTCTTGGTCATAAAAAACGCTCGCGATTCACCATAACGCGTCCGTGACCCATCCGAAAATTTTACGAAGGGGGGAGATTCAGATTGTGAGTAGGTAGAAAAAACGCAACGGTAGAGAAAGCGCTTCAACATGTCGCTTCGCGCTTCTCAAGAGTCCCATACCTGAAGAAGCTAACACCCAAAAAAGCTCCGCAATTTCCACTCGCCCAATATATCTGTTCCACGCTAATTGGCCATAGAATGTCCTATTACGCTTGCGATCGTTACAGATCTAATGCTTTTCGTCAGAGCCAACAATTAGAGCCGGAAAGGGGAGGGGTCGTACCAGGATTCTTTTCCGTGGGGGATACCGCCATTTCACGCATCACGATGGTGTGCTCTGGTTCCGCTTTAGGAAGGCGAAGAGGTCGTAAGAGGTCATGTTCCTTGCTCCAGATCTTCGTTTACACATAAATACTGGTTCTTACTGACAACATAAACCATGAAGAGAATTCAACCAGAATCCCAATCGAGCGGAAAATGAAGATCTCAAGCTGAGGGTCTACGATCTCACAGAATAATCACAGAACCACACTGTCATTGGCCAGTTATTGAAAAGCTCATGCGTACGTGACTGTAACCTTATTTGTGCAGCTCATCTTAGGCAAAGTGCTGCTACTTGTTCGCTACAAATATTGGTGACGAAAATGAAAAAAATGAGAAGAGTAAATCAAATGTAGTCAATTGCAATTTTCGTCATGTGAACCCTTACAATGGGTCGTCTCCTAGAGATTTCTCATGGCTATAAAAAGAATTCAGTGGGAGTTTTCGAGGCGCAGATTTGACACAAATTAACCCCTTTCTCTGAAAAGCTTACTATTTGTAGAACTGACTAGTTCATAGGTAACATTTGAAACCACCTGGCAGCACGACGGATAAGAAAGTTGAACAGATATTTCGGCGTTCTTCTATTTTCACATGTGCATTTCACTATTCTCATTGCAGTGCTTTCTGGCTTCTAAATCCGTATCTTTTCTAGACGAAACATAGGACTGTTTCTCTTAAACACTCTTGGGATTGTGGAAATAGCCTCTACGATTATTTTTTAGCACGAGTTATGTTAGCTTTCAGACAGCCTGTAGCAGTTGCTCTTTGTTCATTCGCACCAAATGCATCTATGTCTCTTCTGGACTCACTCATTGTCGCTCGTCAGAAGACCATAGGCGATCGACCTTTTCGTTCTGTTGCAGATGTTCGTTGAAATTTTTTCATTGTCGGCTTGATTTCAAGTGATTCTAGTTTTAGTTAGAAGAATATGGTGTCGCCACGACGGGCGCGCTGGTTTCTCTTCAGGCTGACGCTCTTGCTCGGGCTTCTGCTTTGGAAAATCTCCCTGAATCAGTTTTAAGAGCAGCTAATGAGCTTGGCGCCGCATATGGCGTCATGAACTTGGTTAGGTTCGTCAGTGTGATGCTTTTGATATAAACTCAACATGATTCCCCCCCCCCCCGTTTGTACAATTATTTAGATCATTTCTACCGCTTCTACAACAAGGCGTTGTTTTGTTGCCTGCAGATCTTATGACGATACATAACCTTACGCCAGATTCAGTCTACAAACGGAAGAATCCTGAGGCTTTAGTGCTTCTTGTGAGAGACTTGCTCAAGGTATGTTTATGTGAGTGTCTATAATACTTGTTGCTACTTATTTCTTACCCACACTGAGTCGTCGGTTATATCCATAAGCGACTTTTATTTCTTAATGTAAATCAAAACAAAACTATGAAAACTAAGTCAGTGCAGTTGTTTTTGTTGTACATATGGAATTATTGATGTCTGAAAAGCGAGATACTGCAATATGAGGCTCACGAAAGTTCGAAGCAGTTTTCTGTCTGTTTTCATGTTCCTTCCATCAACTAATTGGTGTGGAAGCGACATTTGCCGTCTAACTCAAGCCCAGAATCATTAAATTTTTTTTGCATGAAATTCTTTTCATGTCACCGTCGCTGTGTGCAAATTACAGACGTTTAAAATCTGTGTGTGTGGTCTTCCTCTTCCCTCTTTCGAACAAATCACTGGGCTTCGTTTGACCCTCATGCTTCCAAGAGGCAAGTGTGGGAGAGCTGTAGTGCAGAGAAGTAAGAAAGAAGTTGATCGACAAGAAAGTCATGTAGTTTCCTTGCGCAAAAGGTGCTGTCCAGCCAAAGAAGCGTATATTTCCTCTTTCCACTTTTGCAAACGCTAGATCTCATACTACTAGGTCAACCCGTTCAAAAATGTGGAGACATATGGAGGAACAGCAGGAAAGCAGAGGGGCTCATGACTGGAGGCTTCTGTATCGTTCAAAAGCTAGTGCTTCTAGCTACCTATATGTGAAATTTGGCTGGCCTATTCGCAGGATACAATGTGGAGAAATTGAAAAGAAGCCCGGATTGTCAAAAAGTGCCGGATTTTCGAATCAGGCCTCATAAGAGAAAGTGCGCTGCTCAAATTTGGCCAGTGCCGAACCAGTATATTGTTGTCGAAATGCGAGGCGAAGCATTTGGTTCAGGAGCCCGAAGAAAGAAGAAAGAAAAAAAATTGTTGTCGTAAATGGTCTCATAATGATCATTCTGCACAAAAAAGGTGGATGAAATCAAGCGCTAAATTTCTGATTACAAAGGCTGGACCCTCGTCAAGCTTGCCCACGAGGTTGAGATCCCCGCTGCAATTGCTACCTGAGCTATGTCCGACACATTGAGGATGGTGGGGGTGTGTGTTTGGGTACCTAATTTCTTGTAGGAGCATAAACCCAGCACCGATTCTATGCCTGTATCAGTGCTGTTCTCTGCATAAGATGTCGTTCACGGCTGCGAAAATGCACTCCGGCCTTAGACGAAATACGGGCGCTCTTAAACTCTGTGCCAAAACTCATAAGCGTCAATTTTTATGAATGTAGACGAGGAGCAGCCCTAGGCCATTGGGGGGTTACGTAGGCCCCAAAAATATGATCATAAAGGATGAAGTCTTCGCCGTTAATCACCCCGGGAGTAGAAGGCTTGGTTGGCCGTGGGCGGGTGTCGACCTGGGATTCGAACCCAGGACCGCGCGAGTGGTAAGCGCGCCACTTGTCACTACACCACTTCCGCCTCGTATGATCATATAGCTGAGGATTTCTGCAATGTGGCTCTCGAGCGGCTCTTCACAGAGAACAGAACTGTCGCTGTCGGTGTATTTTGCCTGTTTCTCGACAATCAGATAAACAAATGGATGGTACCCCACAACTACAAGAAGGCCACCGTTATCGTCATAGTGCCAGACCCCGAGTAACTGTATTGTAGATCAGTGCTAGGACACAAACAGTACTGAAACGTGGATTTAATCGTCTCATTCGCACAAGATAAAGCCGTGCCATCTCAGTTGTTCTGGTCAGTCGAAGGTGCTGTCCTACGGCAAACGCTACAACATTTGCCATTTGCCGAAATTGGCACCAGCAGCAATATACTCGCACTTGTTGAAAGAACGAAAGTACCAGTGGTCCGAACGCTTTCAGAGCACTGGCAGCGGGTCATTGATGAGGAAGGGATGTACTTAACCTTGAGCCAAAATATTACTTTTCTGTCTGTTTTCCTCTTCGTTTTGTATGAATAAAACCTTCCACATTTCTGAATGGGATGACCCGACCCATATGAAAACTGCTCTCGAAATGTGGGGACAAACGCCTCCATCGCAAGAAAACAAAGGTCTGACGGTACTGAAGAATTGCAATGTTAGGCGACTATTATAAATAAAGTGCAAGGATGCTTTCAGGTGGCATCGGCTCGTCTCGAGGCTTCCAAGCAGTTTTTGCCATCCGTTCCTCGTGCACTGCGCAGGGCACTTGCACCAACCTCTTCTATCGTGAATTATATTATAAGAAACACAAAAAAGGTATGCTGCGAAATGGTTCTCATAATAACACTCTTACATTGTCTTTTTCACTAGATCGTATTCATACTTTGTGATTTGGGAGAATAGGGAAATGTCGCCAAGGGAATCACGGGTGTCAGTCTAGCGTTCTGGGAGATATTCACTTCATTGGTATCCATTCCAAACGTCAATCCCGCAATCCTTCCATTCTTCTGTTCTCTCAAATCGCAAGGTATGAGCACGGCCCTACTCAGTCCTCTATCTTTTTCCGCCTGCTTTACCGAAGAATGTCTTATAGAGCTTATCCCGTTTGTGACCTTCATCTTCACCCTAATATTTCTTCCCTCGTAATTCAGCGAATAGCTTATTTTTTTCCACTTGCATTTTCTGGCTCCTCTCCCGAATCTCGCTCTTTCGATGTTGCGAAGCGATAAGAAAGCATTGTTATAAAGAGCCGTGACAACCACTTATGTTCTGCTATGCGTAGTACTAGAAAATATATTCTCTGGTGTCCTCATAGGCTGCGTTCGTACCTAACGATGACGTCCGTCGTCGACGTAACCGACGACGTTGAAGCCGTCGGTGACGTCGGATGGATACGTCTTTCAAATTCGGGAATTAGTCGCCGAAAACGTCGGTTACGTCGGCGACTTCACCGTCGTCGGTTACGTCGGCGTCGTCGTTAGACACGTTCAGACGTGTAGCGCAACCTAGCGCAACAATTGTAGCAAACTCCAGCTTCCTTTTATGTTTTTTTCTTTCTGAATTAAACCCCTTTTCCCTTTGTTTCTCATGTTTATCTGATGCTGAGCTCCGCTTTTCTACTTTACCACATTTCAATGTAGTTTTTGATACAGTACACCGTGATGATTGATTTTATATATCGTTTTCGACTTTAATTATCTAGTTTCAGAGTTGCTATTGATGTTTGATGTCTTGCAGTGGTGCCTCGCGTTGACCCCGATTGCGAAATCGTTTTCATTCTATACGAGGACGGATCGCTGTTAAATTATCTTTATTAAACTACATTAAAATGTGATAAAGTAGAAAAGAGGAGCTCAGCATCAGATAAACATGAGAAACAGAGAGAAAGGTGTTGAATTCAGAATGAAAAAACATAAAAGGAAACTGGAGTTTGGTACAATTGTAGCGCTACGTAGCGCGACAAGTCCGAACGTTGCCTTAGGTATGAACGCAGCCGTATCGGTGAGGGTATCTCAACTATGAGAAACTAACGAAAACGGATTGACGTTGCACGGTCTAAACTGAAAAACTTAAAGTTTGTTCCAAGCAAGCAATTTGGGCGTTTATTTTGTCAAGAGCAATGCATAGTGTGACATTATTGATGTTAAGATGAACTTCAATATCAATTTTCCAGTTGAATTGTAACCTCTACGACAGCCGATTGCAAAGGCGACATCCATTTCTGATGTGGACACTCTTAATTAAAAATTTGTTGGGTCGCTATTGAAAGTTACCCTGACATTTTTCCTATGGTTTTGTTGAGCTTTCAGTCTCATAGTTTCCATGATTTTTGTGTAATGCAGGTTTGGCTGATGCGATATATCTGTCGTAGTACGAACTTTTATTCGTAACCTAGCTAACTATCTTGTTATTCAGAATTCTTTCTCCACTTCGTTTTAGGTTTAGGTGGCTTGTACTGTAACGCGTCCTGTCATTGCTGTTGTGGTACGAGAGTGAACAGCGTAAGGACAGCGGACATACGTTTGCTCAGTGATAAAGGTTTTTGAGTGATAAGTTGTTGCATTTATTACAGGGCTTTGATTCCCTGGGCTTCCAACTTTTTTGTCCCATTCTCTTTCGTTCGAGGAAGTAGAAACTTTTCCGTTTTTGTTTGTGAAAGATGCTGTTCCACTGTAGTGGAGTTGACAGAAGCGCGCGTGATATCTGTTTAATTTAAAGAGGAGGAATGATTGTTCTTTCTTCACCCGTACTGTTTAGCAAGTTCGTGTTGCGTAACCTACACGTTGCTACAGTGGAGCAATTACCTAATCTGCCTTTATTATTTCGTCCTTGCTCAAGAAATGAGTTTCGCCATTGACCAATCACTTTCGGAGATCCGGCGCAGTTTCTGCATCCATTCGAAATTGATGTGGCTTATTAGACGCGATATGATTTAGAAAATGACTTCCAGGGATTAGTCTACTGAGTTTCTTTTTCATCTTTCCAAGCGAATATGATATGCCGGTTTGAGATCTGACCACCATGTCGCGCATGTGCTAAGCGGGCCGCTTGCCACTACCCATTTCTACTTGCAAGTGTAGAAAGGCTAATAGTTCATATAGGAAGTCTAGTGAAGGAGGGAGAGGAGTTCTCTTCTCCATTAAGAAGTCATCCTGTTTGTTTACCCACAGCTGGTCTTTGGATGGCGCAGAAATGAAGCTGGATCTAGACATCAATACCCCGTATATTAGCCTTCTGGAACTGGTAAAGCAGTGCAGACTGGATGACACTATTGGATGCAGTTAGGACGTTCAAGCGCGATCGCGCGCACTATCAGAGCTCACTCTGATCTCGGCATGGCGAAAACCCAATGTGGTGAGATGACCTGACCGGGACACTTACTACGCTCTCCCCGTGTATATCGAATGACAGTTTACGCTCCGCGGCGTTTCTAGCACTGGTTGTTTTCTTTCTCAATTGGTCACCAACTTATCACTATTGCTAGAGCATGGCAGCCCAAGAGGGACTCACTCCGTCCTTCCTGACACCACCCCTTCTGATTAAAATATTACCAGTGTAAGCAACCAGCAAGGTCAGATGCTTTGTCGTAGCTCAGACTTCTTGAACCGCAACCAACTCATACTTTGCTGTTGAAGCAACGTATCAACATACGTTCAGTCAGACATTTATTTCACTCGTAGAGGTTGGAAAAGATAAAGCTCATTGAGCTGCATTTTGTTATCCGTTGATGAATGATCCAATTGCGTTGCTCGCTCCTTCTCCTCCGAATATTTGACCAAATAGCTTGAAGAGATCGTTACTTCTGGGCACAGCAACACCGGGAATTATGGCTACTGCAAGAAGTGTTTGATAGCTATCCAATTAATGAAATGACCATATTATTGAAACGAGAAAACGAATGAAGGGAACCGTTGAAGAAGTGTTCAGCGGTGCCTAGGTCTCGAGTTCCTTTGTGAGCCAACGATTTCCTTCGTGCAAAAACAGTTACGCATCCGAGCACTACAGTCTGAGATTCGCATGGCAAGTCTCTCAAAAGACCCTATTGCCTTGCACGGTAGTTTTTCTTTACGAAATTCATTAAAATGAGATTATTCTTCCACTCATTCCGGTTCGCTTCTTTTTTTTCATTGTGGATGGAACTGTGCGTTTGCCACAGGAACGATTCTTTTTTCCAACCTTCAACTGTGAAGTCTATTTTACAGCAGAGAAAGAAACGAAGCAAACCAACTATTAGGTTGAGGTGTAGTTGTTGGAGGCGGTGGTAGGGCCACGCATTTGTCGCCTTTCTGTTCGAATCCACAACGACACATACATCGACCTCGGTAGCATCCGGAATTCAGGGGACATTGCCGCTGGATGAAGCAAAGGCTGCCCAAACCAACAGCCTGTAATAAAAAAGAGGCGTGGAAAAGGGTTATGGTGAATTACTGATTAGACGAAAAATCCTGGTGAAAATCGAACCTTCATACAGGCTGTGTCTTTGCTAAGCGCTTCAGATTCGCAATCTCGCGAACAGGTTTGGGATGGATTCTTCATAGGAGATGTAAGAGAGTCCACCGAAGGGTGGAACCCAGAAAGGCACTGGCATTGACCCTTAAATGAGGGTACATCATTGCTGTATCTCGAAAATCAGACACAAAAGCAATCTTTTTTTTGGGATGCGGCACGCTTTCTTCTTGCATTCAAGATCTTACCATTAGCGCTCTACTGAATGTGATGTGGCCTATACAATGACTTACGAGGTTATCCGGTCTACCGGTTGCTGCTATCATCCCAGACGAGCCTGGTACCAGCTGAACTCCCAGGAAGAGAGCAACGTTGCCCTAGGCGGGAGCCGATCCCGCGTTAGACACCCGAACTGCGTGCGTGGGAAGCGAGCCACTTGCCACTACACCGCCTCTCCTTTTGGGGTGGATATTTACCGAGAGTACTGGGAGGAGTCGACCTTGTTTCAAAATTCCGGGCATCTGCGGGTTCCCTTAAAAACGTTTTCCGAGACTGCAATCAGTGGGTAGTGCAACTCTGTGTCTTTTGTGAAATGGTAGATGTTAATTATCTTGTTATCAAAGAGATTAACAGATCACGTCAAAATTAATAGGATCCTTCTCAATTTCGAAAATTAGATGGATAATACGAATAATGGGAATGCTTGGTGCTTACCTTAACACATTCCATACACTCTCCTCCCCCACACTGTGCGTTGGTGGTACATGCAGAGTTGAGTTGTCCACGTGGAATACACTTAAGAAATATGAGGTGTCCAGTAAAGAAATATACTTGAAGTTGTGAGACAGATAGAATCATACCGTACCTCATTGTTAGCATAAAGTGCATTAGGTGCTAGAGCATTACAGGGTCGACGACAGCAAACTGCTTGCGAAACAAAGCCATCTGGAATGTCGAAATGATTGGAGAAAACTTCAAAGTACGCTTAGTTGTTGCTGGTTGGGTATACCTGATAACAAATGGCAGAAGTGGGTATCGCTCGGGCATCTGAGGGGTTGAGTCGCATTTGGATCGCACGAGAACTGTGTGTCAACATGGGTGGCTAATGGGCAAACTACTGGGCAACAATGCCCCACGGGTGAATCAGCGGCACTCACACAATACTGGCCAGTAGGACAGTCGTCCTGGTTGGACGGCAAATTGAAAGCCTAAATGGAAGCAGAAACTCATATAGGTACGACAGTAAAGCACTAGCGAGTTCTGGCAGCTATCAATGGGATCTAGTCTAAAGGTTCGTCGAAAACCCGTTCAGGAGGGTGGTCGAAAGCTTTCTGTGTCAAATGGGGGCAAATTTTGTTGTGGGTCCGGTCGAGGTTCGCAGAGTGCTTTTCCGCTATCAATATCAACTTGCTAATTTTTCGATGACCAAACGGAGTAGAGACTGGCAGCAGCACCAAAATTATTGAAAGTATGGCTACTTTTCGGTTCACGTTGTCTTTTGTCGTTATCTACGACCTAGAAAAATCGTGATTTTGTACGCGACACCTACCAGCGCGACGAATTACGATTGTTCTGTCACATGCTCCATGAAAGAAGAGCCGGCAAGGGAAGACGCAGCAGTTGCCGGAAGGTCGCTGCTCGCCCTCTGAGATATGGACTATCATCTGCATCACCTTATCACCTGCGCTCCCGTTGATCATCGAGTTCCTCGAGCGGGCGCCAGTAACGCCTCCATTCTTTCCTGCAACGTGCAAGTGTAGCCCAATGGACCCTCTCTGCTCGAGGGACACCATAAACTTCATACCATCGTTCAGAGCTTTCACGAAGAATGACCATCGCATTGGCGGTCGTCCAGGCGTTCGCTTGACATCCCGTGGAATCCAGTTGGTGATCGCTCTGGTCCAGCGGTCGTCCTCGAAGCGCATGACGTGTGGCCCACCTGATCTTCGAATCCTTGGCAAATACGGCGGCGTCTCTGATCTTCGATCGTCTGCGGAGTGCGGAGCTCCGGATTCCCTCTCTCACTTGCGCGTAGCGGGAAACTCCGAGCATCGCCCTTTCGATGGCACGTTGAATAACGCCAACCGCATGCTCATCCTGCTTTCGTAGAGTCCAAGTCTCTGAGGTGTAAGTCAAGGCAGGAAGGACAGCGCAGTCGAGAGGTGGGCACGGCGCTTGGTGTTCTTCGTCTTCTTCGCTACGCCCTCGATGAAGGCTCCCCAAGCCGCTCGCTTCCTCCTGCTCAGCTCTGGTGCTAACAAGGGAACCCAAGAGGTCGATCCGGCCATTTGCAATTAGATGTACATGTGTGGACGTGTCTTGAGCCGCTGAATCCAAATCTACCCTCCGTTTTTGCGGAACGATTCTTTGAAGCAAGTTACGGACCATTAAATCTTTGCCTTGTTGCACAAGTTGAGAAGGATAGTTACCTGCGGCAGGTCGCCGATGGCCTAGTGGATAAGCACGCTGTTTCAGAGACACAGAGTTGCATGTTGCAATCCTTGACTCTTGGAATGTTTTTGCTTTTCGTTCAAAACGTTCCAATGAATTCCCAGAACACTTCTGTTCGGTCAGTTTACCTAAATCTCTGATTATCTTACAATAAAAGCGGTCATTGCTCCATTTGCGTTTCCTTCAGAAAACATTAATCATGAGGATGACCGTTTCTAAAGCTCGCGTCGAAGAATGGGGATCTTACGATTCAAGTTCTCGAGATGAGAACAACGAATGAAAAGTACTCTCCACACACGGTACAGTTACAGTTCTCCACCACAGCGGAGGGGAAGCAGTACTGAAGAGGTGTTTTGAACCCAGGGTGTACATCAGTGTATCCAGCTACCAAGAACAGATGAGAAGTTTTTAAATCTAGGTGTGCAAAACTGAGAACAGATAAGAGGCAATACACGGAGTCTCTCTGATGCATAGAAAAAATTATATCATAGGCCAGCGTTTGTACATAGCTTCAGACGGTAAGAAGGAGTACACCTTTGAAGGTAGAATCAAGGACGTAGCGCCTTGTAGTCTATTACGTACTTTCACACATTTCTTAGATGGCAGTGCAGATCGAGATTCATGATTTCAAAATTTTCAATTTTTGAAATTTTTTAACTTCACGAGCCGACTACGAGGAACGCCAACTGGGGGAGGGGGAGGGGTGCTGGAGCGGCCAGCTCACATAGTTTTATATACTTCTTATCATATTGGTGGTGCTCGGCTGGATACATTGATGTACATCCTAGTGAGTTCAAAACACCTGTTCAGAACTGCTTCCGCTGAGGAGTGGTGGAGAACTGTAAGTGTACCGTGTAAGCAGAGTACTTTTCATTCGCTGTGCTCATTTTGAGAACTTGAATAGTAAGATCCCTCTTCCTCGATGCGAGCTTTAGAAACGGTCATCCTCGTGATAAATGTTTTCTGGAGGAACCGCAAATGGAGCAATGACCGCTTCTATTGTCAGATAATCAAAGATTTAGGTAAATTGACCAAACACAAGTGTTCTGGGATCATATGGAATGTTTTGAACAAAAGCAAAAGTATTTGAAGAGTGAAGGATTCCAACATGCAATCATGTGTCTCTAAGGCAGTCCTCTTATTCACTGAGCCATCGGCGACCTGGCAAGCAACTACCCTTCTCAACTTGTACAACAGGGCAAAGATTTATGGTCCGTAACTCGCTTCGGAGAATCGTTCCGCAAAAACGGAGGGTAGATTTGGATCCAGCGGCTCAAGACACGTCCACACATGTACATCTAATTGCAAATGGCTGGATCGACCTGTTGGGGTTCCCTTGTAAGTCGTTCATCATATTGATTTCACGACCCAGATACACGTAGCTGGAGCATTCAGAGATTCGGGTAGCCAGCTTCAAGCTGTAAATACATCGTGGATGTCAGCTAGGCAGGCCATAGAGTCCAATCCGGTGTTATTCTTGTGCCCACGAGGGATTTACAACTTTCTGCACTATTCCGAAATATGGCAGCTTTCTGACCAGTTCCATGTCAGTTCGCGTTTGGATGTGGGACAAATTGGTTATCATTTTTGATGCGTGTGAAGCCCCTTCTCACCTAGAACCAGGCATGAATTAATGGCTACTTGTCTAAATAAATGACTTGGTAAATGCATGATTACGAGGAATGACACCACTCTTCTGACAGCTTTCCTCGATTTTCCTCTATTGTAAACCTCCTTGGTGGCATGCCAAAGCTCACTAGTTCCAACATTAGTGCAGTATAACGGAATTTCGATACTGTATTAAAGACAAACAATCGCTGGCTCGGTCTTGATCACACAACGTTGTCCAGGCAGTCCTCCAAGAGGACAGTTTGCTGCGGCGACGCAACGAGATCCCTATAACATAAGAGAATCCTGATCAAGTCAAGAATCTAGGTCCCAATTCTTTGACCGGGTTGGTATATAGGAAATTGGGAGCTGTTCGAGTGGGGGGGGGGATATCGGGATGATGTGACTTGAGCAAACTTCTTCCGGGGAGTGATGCGAACGACATTGTAAGCCACCTTGATACAGTTCCATTTTTCATGGATAGATAAACAGGGTGGTTGATTTGATACTGGCGTCATTGATATGACACGTGACTCATGAGGAACCACTAGCATCAACCTATGATGGTATTGGTACAGGCCTTGGAAAATAGGAGGTTTGAGTGCCATAGGATGTATTTCAACTTTTCTAGGTATCGGATGGCATCCAACATCAGCTTCCTGAAGATGCTAGTATGCCACGATCCACAAGGTGTAGAGTTGTCTAGGCTCAGAAAAAACGTTGAGGAAGGTGGGTGAATGCTTTCTAAAAATTTGGTCCACCTAACCCGAAGCCCTTCGCACCGTCTTTCTTGGTAACTTGGTTTATTTTATAAGTGCTGCGGACTAATAAGAAACAGTTTTATTGTCGCTACACGAGCTCTTTATATCCAAAGATTGTCTATTGCATTGATGCCCAACAGCATAATTTTTTGCCGATAGTAAATTTCTAGGTCTTGATAGGATAGGTTTTTGATGCAGCCAACAGCTCTGCGTTACTATTTTCCCATAAAAAATGAAACGTATCATTAATTTATCAACATGACATATCATATCGTTCGTGTTGGTCCCCGGTAAGAGTGTGCACATAAGTCCCTCTTCCCTCTCACCCTCCTCCCCCCCCCGAGTCAAAAACGGCCGATTTTTTTTCCGAAATCATTGTCAACCTCAAAAGAAACCTTACCTGCTGAATTGTGCCAGAAATGCAAACGCACTGCGAGTTTAGACAGGCGGAAAATGGCGATGTGCAGTCGTAATGTCGCGAACAACGATCACCAACGCGTGAGCCTGGAATTGTGCAAGTACCTGTACGGTCCACGCTCATGTGACGTAAGGCAGCGTTCATACCTCACGGCAGCAGCGGCGGTCGCGGCGATCGTAGCGATTGCCGCGATCGCCGGTACGGGTCAGAGCGCTCCCCAACGCTATCACTGGGACTGTTCTCTGATAAACAAGGGAATCCAGCTTTTGAGACCTTTTTTCTCTAGATAATGGCTACTAACTAGGACCTTTCTCTACTTAAAAGGATTTGGAGTATGAGGAATGGGGTTTCACTTTTTTTGAGGTCAGAATGAGGGCAACTTCATTTGATAGGTGAGTTTCTTCTTGTTCCCTTTGTTTTCATTGTTTCATTTTATATATACCATTTTCACTTTGAATCGGACACTTTTCAAACCAAATCGGACACTTTTC